CCCCAAAACCCCAAAACCCCAAAACCCCTCCAATCAAAAAAATCAAGCGTGTCAATGTATTAAATTAGTAAAAAGTATTTCAATTATATTCTCACTCATCTGTTATTTTATGGAACTAAGTCCTACAGATATACCAATTTTTGGTTACCCACCATTGATATATTCAAAGGAGACCACATTATAAGAATGCTATGAACTCAAAGACCTGGATTAAGATTTCCTAAACAAATACCATAAGGGTAAAGCAAATGATCTATGGGGTTAATTTGCAGTTTAGATCGTAGATTTCCAAAAGTAATCCAAATGAAAAAATAAGAGCAGAAGGAAGAAGCCTCTGTTGATATCGAGAATTTTAAATTCAACTAGATAAGTTGAAAGAGAAGACGAAATGATAAAAATTTCATTTGCAAACGGGTATAAGTTGGATTAGTTCTATAAAGATAAAATAGAGGATTTAGAATACGAGTTAAACAGGTTAAATCAAAATAACGAACCTTTTTTCCTCAAAAGGAGAGCGACATTAATGAGAAAATCTACAACTGATGAAAGAACTTCAATAAATTTTCTTAAAAGCTAAAATGTGAGTATCTCTCCAGTTCATGAAGGTTCTGCCAAAAATCTGAAGAATCCAGACCTTGCTGAAAAAATTAAGATTTGTTTGGATTCAAAAGGTAAAGATCATACTACTTTAAAAATATAAAGAGAACCTTTTAAATTCAAGCCGATCATTGATTTGAAGAAAGAGTAGAAGATTTTCAAGTAAATCTACAGTCCCAGATAATACATTGAGAAAGAAAGCATAACTGTTAAGGCAAAAAGATTCATCAATAGTTTTAAAACAGAGGCATCAGAGCCTGAAAAAAAGGGGCACTCATTTCAAGCTTCATATCGTCAATCTAATATGACCTCAAACAGAAATTAAGCTACTAGATAAGAAGGATAGTCACCTTCACTATTGCATTAATAAATCAATATATAGCTTCCTTAAAAATACTAATAAAAGTAAAATAAGCGGCTCAGCCTAAGGTGTGTATCATCTAACAGATATTCAAGAATTCTGTTTGATGAGGATGATACAGGTGCTAGTCGCAAAATAAATACGGCTAAACCATAATCTCCATGTGAAAAGGCAAATCCAGAGAAAATAAATGAGATTAATGCAAGATTAAGTTTAGAAGGCAAGAATGCAGATCAAGTATAGAGAATTATGGCCAATTCTATATTTTCTCTTGAAAATTTGTCTCTTAAGTCAAAGATAGAAAGGAGAAATTTCAATTTGACTACTAGCTTTAAAAAAAATTAGATGTAGTTTGAGAGATCAGGGGGACTAAATAGCCCATTTAATAATACAATTCAGTATTCTGACCCACTTTTAAAAGAAGGTCTCAGTACTGCCACAACTAGGACACCCCTTGACTCAGCTCGACAACTCTCAAGTTTTTATTAGTCACTTAACTAGCGAACACAAGAGTACAAAAAATAATATAGAAGAAAAATTGAATGCAAAAGTACTGGTATTTGTGATTGAGAGATTGAAATATTATTAATGCAATATGCAATTAAAAATAGACATAAGCTCTCAAACTATAATCCTTCATTCTGTGATTATAAAATAATTTATTTTTATTTCCTTTAAAAGGCTAATTATAAAGAAGAGTGGGGTTTTGGGGTTTTGGGGTTTTGGGG